CGCGGGGCGCGGGCCGGTGGGCTCTGGGGGCGCGTCCGCTGCCGGCTGCCCGGGCCCCGATCGCTCATCCTGCGATCCCTCGCCCGCGGCTCCCTCGCTCTCCAGCCCGCGAAGCCGGCGGGGCGGAGCCGGGGGCGGGGCCGCCGTGCTAGCGGCCTCGGGCGGGGCTGGGTCTCCGCGCGCCCCTCCGCTTGCACAGCCCGGCCCGGGAGCCACCTCCCCGCCCCAACCTCAGGGACACGTAGGCACGGACGCACATCTCTGGCAAGTGCCCGCCCCCGCCCCCCGCGTCACACAACGAGCTCGGTCCACTCGGACGAGCACACACACACACCCCTACCCTCACATACGTGTTTTGTACTTTGGCCGGGAGGCCAGGCTAAGAGGTCTTAAGTGGGAGGAACTTGGCACTGCGGGGGGGGGACACCTGGCTTGAATCCAGGGCAAAGCTGGGAGACGGGCTGAAGGGGATGCGGGCCAGGCATGATGGGGCACATCTGCGGCCCAACCTCACAGCATGGATGGATGTGCGCCTGTGTGGGTGTTGGCGGCGGCTCACCAGGTACTCGCCGACGTCCGCCTGCCTCCCTTGCAGCCGGAACCGTGCTGGGCCCGTAGGGACACACCACAGAAGCAAAAGCAGGCAGCCCTCCTGGCTTTAGGAAGTGGGTCAAGGGCTTTCAATAGCAACCCCAGGGCACACAGCCCAAGCCAGGACCCCTGTACTGCCAGCCAAGCCCAGGGCCCCAGCTCCATTTCCCCACCCCAAGACAGCTCCCGCCACAGACCACACTCAACCACCACAACTTCCTTGCAAAAACCCTCGGCTCACCGGAGGGCCAGTGGAAATTTATTTATTTTTTGTCCTTTCTGTCTTTCCCCAAGTGGCTTTTCCTTGCAAAATGCCTGACATGACACCAGAGGGGAACCTGGGAGTGGGGGGCACCCCAGGGACTTAAATACAAGCTGGAGGGCAGGGCACAGATGGGACAGGCGAGAGACAGCACAAGGGACATGGCTTCTCAGGTAGAGACCAAAGGTTTGTTTTTCTGCAGGAAGAAGCTGTGCCAGAGGGCAGGGGGCTAGGATGCCGGTGGGGGGGGGGGGCGCGAATGGGGAGGCCCTCAACCCTGGGTTTGCACCCACATTCCCCAGAGGAGAAGCAGCACCAGGGTATGAGGACCTGCCCTCATAGGTTTCCAAGAACAGAAGGGGGAGAATAAGCCAGATGTGCTGCCTCAGGGACAGGGAGGTGCTGGCAGAGTGAGGGTTAAGGCTGGCGCCCGGCCTCTGGCACGGTGGGCCTTCCGCCTCTGCCTGCCTTGGGGACAAAGGGGCACGGTGGGCAGGCAGCACATGGGCCTGGCTCTGGCAGGGCAGGGGGTGGCAGGAGCAGGCTCCCTCTGGGCTCAAGACACAGGCCCAGCATGGCTGCCCGCCCACCTGCTCTAGATGTGCTCAGACCCCACTGCAGCTGGACGGCTCGAGCTGTGAAGTGTGGAAGGGGCGGGGAGGGGAGGCAGGGAGGAAAGGGTGGGCTGCTGGGCCCCTGTGGCCCCCCATGCCCTTCCTGAGGTCCAGCCCAGGGCCCTGGATCCTGGGTCCTGGATCCCCTGGTCCCATTCCTGGCCCTGGGTGCTGACTGCTGACAGGGACTGCAGCGGCCAGGGAGGCTCTCAGTTCTTGGGGAAGGGGGGGTGGGGTGGGGTGGGGTGGGGTGGGGAGGCAAAAGGGTAAGGAGAGAAACCCACTGCAGCATACATGGGGGGCAAGGGAGGGGAACAGAGGAGCCCTCGTCCCAAAGAAAGGTGTGTGGTGGGGTACCTTTTAAAGTTACCTAGAGGCAGCAGCAGAGCAAGCCCACATCCCCACCCCAGCCAAAGGTCCTGGGTGTCCTCCCTTGGGGGCCTTGACAAAACCGGGGCTCAGGGCAGCAGGCAGATGGGCCAGAGGGAGATGGGGAGCCCAGGACACCCCAAAGCCACAGACTCAAATGCCCCAGGACAGGGAGGCACCTCCTGTCCCCTCCAGGGGCATCATCTGGAGAAGGTGCCCCCTCCTGTCCCACCCCATGTGCCCCTCCTAGCAACAGCCACCACCAGCCGGCTTCACGGGGGTGCTGTCAATCTTGAGGTTGGGCCGCTCACCCCCCGAGGCTGCCCCAGGCCCCATCCGCTTTTTGATCTCAGCAGCCATGGTCATGAATGCCTGCTCGACATTGGTAGCGTTCTTGGCACTCGTCTCCAGGAAGGGGATGCCCAGAGAGTCTGCAAACTCCTGACAAGGGGAGAAGAGAGAAGAGGAGGGGAAGGAGGGGTGAGAGGCAGCAGACACCAGCCCATCCTGGGCGGCCTGACCCAGGCCCCGCTCACCTTGGCTGTGGTGTTATCCACCACTTTCTTGGTGGTGAGGTCGCTCTTGTTGCCCACCAGGAGCTTATTGACGTTCTCACTGGCATAGCGGTCAATCTCCTGTAGCCACTGCTTCACATTGGCGTAGGATTCCTAGAGGAGCCAGAATCAGAAGTTACTTTGCTCTCAACTCCCATCCCTACCCAAGGCCAGGAGAACCAGGGCTGTTAAAGGGGGCTTCCCTGGGCTCCTGAGAGAGGCAGGAGCCCTGAGAGCTCAGGGAACCAGACAGAAGCAGCTTTCTCCTCCAGGTTTAGGTGTCCTCTCTGATGCCCTCCGTCTGAGACCCCCAAAGCCAAGCCTGGCACCAGCTATCTGCTAACAGCCCCAGTGCATAAAACAGCCCAGGCCTAAGGGCCAGCCAGCTCTGCTTCATGCTGTTGGTCTCTCCCTGAGACACAGAAAAGGCTGAAAACCCGCAGGGAGCAAATAACAAAAGAGAGACCAGAGAGGAGACGGAAATGGAGGCGAACAGGTTAGCAAAGTTCCCATGGTGGCCTTAAAATCCCTGTAAGGTCTGAAGTCTTACAGCCCAATGGTAGGCGGAGGGTCCTCGCAGAGGAGACCCTGGCCCATTGAGAGAGACACATACCCGGGAACAAAGCCAGACATGCATTCGGCTTCTGGCACCGACAGCCTCCTCACTCAGACCAGCCTTCCCAACAGCTGGCCACTCCCTTCCCCCTACCCCTGGCTCACAGACAAAGACAGATCTTTCAGGAACATGCGTGAGCCAGAGCCACTTTCCCCTCTTAGGAATCAGAACGTGGGGGGCTATCCCACTGGACTCGAACTTACACCTCCTGCGTGTCCTAGGCTGGGGCCCTGTGGACAAGGATGGGACACATACCTAGGTCCTACCCTAAGGCACTCAGGAGACAGTGGGGGACTAGAGCAGGACACACACGATGGCAAGACAGGGTGAGGAGCGCCGTAGGGATGGAAGGCAGGAGCCGCTGCAGCCCTAGGACTGCCTCTGCCCAGAGAGACTGCAGCTGACCTACGTCCGAAGGTACAAACTGGCCTTGTGTGGAAGCAAGTGGAGGAATGGGAAAGGTGCGAGGGGAGGAGATGACACACACCAGGTCAAGGAATGGGGTAGGGGGGTGAGGGGGCGCAGTGCCTTTGGAGAGCAGGGGGAAGCTGAAGGTTGCTGGCTACAGGCCCTGGGCACAGAAGGAAGGGGAAAGGAGGCAGGCCAGAAGATGGAAGGTCTTAGCTTGGCTGACTCTGGACAAGCAGGAGCCCACGAGAGTTTTCTCAGGAAGGGAGCAGCAGAAGCACACCTGTGTTCTGGGAAGACAGTCCAGGTAGGAGTGTAGAGGCCAGCTGAGCCTGGTGAGAAGATGGAGACCAACTGGGAGGTGGCTGGAATATTCTAGGGAAGAAATGTGCGCCCTGAGCCAAGGAGTGAGGCAAGGAAGAGTGCAGGATTCAGAGTCAAGACCATCCTGGGTTAAGTCCCCAGCTCTGCCAAATATTTACCGGGAGACCCCAGATTTGTCACCTGACCTCTCTGAGCTTCGACTTCCTCACTTCTATAAAACAGTATCTCCCGATGGGGCTGTTGTGAACAAGAGATAATGAATGCAGGCCTGTCTCATGACAAGTGCTTAATTAGCAGGAGCTGCTATTATCCTCATCACTGCTATTATTACAAGGGAATGGACCTGAGAAAGAAGACAGAGAAGAGAACTGGGGGAAGGAAGAGTTTTCTGGTCAGACCAACAGGAACTCTGTTACAAAGATGGGGTTGTGGGAGATAGCACGGGGAGGGACAGCGAGGGCCGTGCTGGATACACGGAGTTCTGAAGACGATCCGGAGCTGAGAGGTTGGCGAGGGGAAGGGAAGGGTTGGCTTGGAAGCCAAGAACGCTGGTTCAAACACTGGCTTTGCCCTTTCTGGCTACGAGACCATGGGCAAGTCACCTAACACCTCCCTAAGCGTATCTCAGCCAGAAAACAGGGACCCCAGCACTCAGTTCACTGGACAAAGTGCCAGCAAGGTAGAACACAGAAGAAAAGACCCACAGTGATCGCCGTTTGCACAGAACTCACAGAACATAAGACAGGAACCAAACCACAAAGCGGCCAGACCCATGCAGGGAGAGTCAAGAAACACAAGATGAGGATGGGGGCAGGAGGTGGTAGTACAGAGCAAACCTGTAAAAACTCACGCAAAA